GGGGGAAGGTGTAGGGGCACTTGGGGGGCTGGGGTTGAGGGCCTGCAGAGTGCGTGTGGATGTGCATGTGCATGTGCGTGTGTGTGCGTGTATGCGTGTGTGCCTGTGTGTGTGCGTGTGTGCGCGCGCGTGCATGCGTGTGGGCGTGCATTTGCATGCGGGCGTGTGTGCATACGTCACAGTACTTTGGGTTGCAGGCCTGCTGCCGAGCAGGCATGAGGGGAGGAGGGGAGCAGCAGGTAATGAGCAGTGAGGATGCACCGGCGGGGGCAGGCGTCTGCGGGCGACGCCGGTTCTCAACGCGCGAGGCGCCGCGCTGCGCCGCGCCCCAGGGGGGTTTGCTCACTGTAGTAGAAGGGCTTGCCATCGCGGTCGATGAAGAGGTCGCCCTGCGGGGAGGGTTCAGGGTTCAGGGTTCAGGGTTTTAGGGGCTGAAGCCGTCCAAGATCGAAGGCAGGGCGGCAGGGCGCAGGGCGCCCAAGAAGGCGCCGGCCGCGGGCGCGCTGACGCCGGGCGCCCGCTCGCGCTGCGCCGGCCCGCGCGGCTGGCGGCGCTGCCAAGCTTCGCCCGACCAGCTGTCTTGCGCGGCGCCGCCCGCCGCCCCAGTGCCCGCGGCGCGATGCCGCAGCAACCGCTTCTGCGCTCTGACATTCCCCCAAACCCCCAGTCCAGGGCTGACGCTGCAGCCGCCCACCTCCGGGCTCCTCTGGGGCGGCCCCACCCCAGGGTCGCCGCCCTGCAGCAGCGCGTGGAAGTAGGACCCCCCCACCGCCAGCAGCGTCCCAAGCGTCGTCACATACCGCGCGCCGCCCACGTTCAGCGCCACCACGCTGCCCGGTCCGACGGGGCCGGGGGCGACGCCGGGGATCGTTGCAGCGGGGCCGGCGGCGATGGAGGGGGGAACGGCGGCCGGGCCGCAGGGGACGCCGGCGAGGAGCTGCTGATGGGGCTGCTGCTGTTGTGGCTGTGTGCCGACGGAAAGGAGCGCCGCCGCGACGGTCGCGGGGCCGAAGCCCAGCGGGGGCGCGGGCGACGCGCTGCTGGGAAGCTGCGGGACAGGGGGCGGCATCAGCGCGGCCGCCATGCTGGCCGCGAGCAGGCCGCCTGGCGGAGCCGCTAGTGACTGCTGCGGCTGCTGCTGCTGCTGCGGCTGCTGCTGCTGCTGCTGCTGCTGCTGGTGATGCTGCTGCTGCGGGGTTGGTGGCCGCTGCCGCCGCTGCTCTGCATCTTGCACGATAGATCGCTCCACTGACAGCACAACAGAAGGCGGATCGGGCTGCATTTGCTGCATTTGCTGGTGCTGCTGCTGCTGCTGCTGCTGTAATTGTTGCAAGTGCTGCTGCTGCTGTTGCTCCCGCTGCTGCTGCTGTTGCTGCTGCGCTGATACCACCGCAGCCTGTGCCTGTGCCTGAGCCTGCTGCTGTTGCTGGGCCTGCAGGCCAGCAATCTGCCACTCCTGCTGCTGCTGCTGCGGCTGCTGCTGCTGCTCGCCCTCGTCAACGGAAGCCGCGCGCTGCGAGTGCGCCCGCTCAAGCTGCTGCTCCTGCTCCTGCTCTCCCCCGTGCGACGCGTCCTGGTCCGCGCTGCCCGCCCGCGCGGCGTCGCCCCCCGCGGCGGCGGCCGCGGCTGCGCTTGCGTTCCCCTCCGCGCCGCCGGCAGAGGCGCTGCTGGGGCCGGAGCGCCAGTCCGAATCTACGCCTGCCAGTCGGCGGTCATGCCATGCATGGCGTTCACGCCCCTCTTTTGATGAATTGGGAGTGAGACCGACCCGCCAAACAAACAGAACACAAGTACCCCAGCATATCAACCTTCGCTGCTAGCAAAACCGCGGCCAACCAAGAAAGGGTTCCGCGCGGGGTCACCCACCTTGCTGCCGCCGGGATTGCTTTGCGTGCGGCGAAGCGGCCGCCGCCGAGGCGGGGCGCTTCTGGCCGCCTGCGGCGCGGCGCGAGAGCAGAAGGGGCGGCGGCCTTTTCGAAAGGCAGTGGTGGGCCCTGTCGCTGCCCCCGCCGCCAACCAGGCCGCCCCACCGGGTCCCGGCGCCGCCGCCACGATCATTACAAAACCGGGCGACAAGACAGCAGCACTCCCAGATCACGTCCCCCTGTTCGCTGCAAAATTGCAGGCGCCCGCCCACGTGCGTGTTTTCGCGCCCACCTTCCCCGCCGCCGCGCTTGTTGCGCGTCTCCCACCAGCCCTGCAGCCCCGCCACCCACCGCCGCGCGTCCGCCGCGAGCGCGTCCGGCGACGAGTCCGGGCGTATGCAGTCGGCGGCGGCGCGGGCGGCGGCGGCGAAGGCGCGGAGCTCCGGCTCGGTCTCTGGCAGGCGGGCGCCCATCACCGCCTTGAGCTGCTGGCCCTTGGGGTTTGAGATCAGGGTACAGGGTTCAATTTTCAGGGTTTAGGGTCTAATGTTTGGTTTTGGGGGTTGAGGGTCCGGGGCTGCGTTTTGTGCAGCGACAGGGGGTGGATGCGTGATACCATGGGTGAATGGAGCGCCCAGACGGGCAAGCAAGGGGCAATGGAGCATGGACATGAGTGCGCCCGGCCGTGCAGCGGCGCAGCGGCAGGCTGAGCGACTGCTGGGTGCTGAGAGGCAGGCCCACCTGTATGCGGGGCCGCCACTTCTTTTCTGCCACCAGGTCTGGCCGCAGCCTGCGCGGGCGCGCGGGGAGCGGAGC